TTCTCAGTTAAATGCAGTGCAATATAATGGCTGAAATATTCAAAATAATTAATTCTTTTCCAGAAGGGGCTAGTTCTGGTTGTAATTTAAGGCTATAATTTTGGGGCTGCAGTAAGCATTTTTTCTTCTCCCTCAGGGATTTCTCTCATTGCCTCCACAGGCCCCTGTCCCCCGCTCTAGCCCCATACAACTGGCCATGGTAAAACACAGGAATGATTGTCCTGGTAATTCTTAGGCTCTGCCTAAAATCAGAATACATTTACATGTATGTGTGTGAATAAATCCTTCCTGAACACCTTAATCTCATTTTTAATAACAGGAAATATTTTCTCTTGTTGTTTCCCAACTTGGTCAACTTCCATTGTTTTCTCTATGTTTTTCCTGCTTAAAGAAGTCTGCAAGTTCCACCTCTCCTGCCTCCCTGGATTTAGGGAGATGCAGAGCCCCTCAGCTGCACGGGCACATTCCCTGCAGCCAGAGAGGAGATGCTGGGACCTGCTCACCAGCAGCTGCTGTCTTCCCAATTCATCTAATCCAGCACCAGAAACTCCATATTTGTATTTTCCCGCAGCACGGATCTCCCTCCATCATTTCCACACATATTGGATGTGGAACACCTCTTCCCTCCCTCCAGCTCATTTTCCTTCTCCCCCAGATTTCCCAGGGAGTGGCATTCTCTCCTGCTCTGTGAGCCTCACGCGTGTCATGGGAGATGGAGTATTCGCCTTCAGCCGTGTTCGTGCTTGGTCCAAGAAAGAGAGTTTTAACTCCCCTGCCTGTACTGACTGCACCAGAGACAGTCCTGGATGAAAGAGCCTTACAGTTTCACTGTTTGCTATATTCGCTGTTACTGACTGCTACCCACCACCAAACCTGGAAGATCCTTCCCTGCTTGCAGCAGAAAACTGCGCATTACCTGGTAGTCACCGTCTCCTCACGCCCTCTGTCCTACCCAAGCATGGACGCAGCATTTAAGCCACCCTCAATGCTACAGACACTGCAGGTGGCGGATGAACACCCATGGGGAAGACCGAGGTCTGTCTCACCTCTGCAAAGGCGGGCGCTGTGTTTCAACCCAAGATTCTCCACCAACCTCAAAATTTTTACGATCCAGCCTGCAGTGTTGTGCACAGAAAAAGTGGTAAAAGGATGAGAATAAACAAACGCGTTTGGCTCATGCGATTAAGACAAGAACTTTGTTTTTATACTTGGAATGAGCTCACCCACAAGGCTGTAATGGCAATCCCTGCTCGCCGTGGCTGTGGAAGAAATGCAGTGGATGAGGGAATTCGTGTGAAGTTTATTCAGATTTCTCTTTTTAAGAGCTCTGATGTGCATTTTCAGGGGGTTTCTCCTTTTTCTTCTGACATTTGCAAGACTGAATTGTTACCCATCAGTACCATAGACAGTACTTTCATTTCCAGCCTTCTGCTGCTGTGCACGTCCAAAGAACAACCAGAGGTGAAACACTTGTTGCTTATCAGCATTTTATATTCTGCTGGATAATCCTTAACTCAAAGACATGTAACTTGGGAGATCGGTGTGTGCTGAGCAGCTCAGCAGAGGAGCCCGGCTCCGGCTCCAGCTCCATCGCTCGTGCTCATCGTGGGGCACGCAGGGTGAGCCCTCGTCCCACCAGCATCCCTCTCTGCCTGCAGCCGCTCGGTCTTCCAGCTCTCCGGCAGCTCTCCCGTGACCCTTTGCGCCAGAGTTTGGCAGAGTTGCTATGACGACCCTGCTGGTGCAGCCGGCAGCACCCAGCCGGCACCCAATGCAGGTTGGTGTCTGTGGGGTGGTTCTTGGGGTGGGGGGTGGCAGGAGAGCGTAAGCCAAACTTGAGGGTGCTTTGCAAAGCAAGCACATGGGGTTTCCCCATCATCCACTCCCATTGCTGCTCTGGCACCCTGCTCTCGCTGGAGAAGATCAGCAAAAGGCGCCCTGAGCATCAGTCCTGGGACAGCATCCCGCTTGGAGACACCGCTGCGGGGGCAAGGAGGGACCGGGCATGGCTTGGCTGTGCCAGAGGGTGCCAGCAAAGGGACCCCAGTGCGGGGCAGTGCCATGGTGCAGGGGTCCATGCAAGGGGTGAACTCACCTGGGGACCCTCGGGGCCGGGTAACGGTCAGGCAGAGTAGGGTGCTGCTCCGCAGGCAGAGCTGCTGCAGAGCTTGCACGATGAGACGTGGTGTGGTGGCATGAAGGGGGCTGCCAGGGACAGTCAGCTGCCCCTTCTCTGCAGCCAGATTAATTTTACACCTTGCTCTTTATGAAATTAATAGGTGCAGCTGGAAAAAAGTATATCTGTAGCTAAATTGCATTGCTCTGGAGTCCTGTGAAGGGCCAGCGAAAAAAATGGGCTTCCTGTAGGGCTTAACAAACTAAAGCTGCATTTTACCAGAAACCTGACGTATAGCAGTGTCTGGAGGACACAGAACTCTAAGATCCTCATCCCCAAGCGCAGCTGCGGCGGCAGAGATGCATGGGAGCAGCAGCCTCTAGCCGTCAGTGCTGAGAGCTGCAGCTACTGTTGCGGGCTGCAAGGCATCACCACAGAACTTGTGTGGGAGGCCCTGCACCACCTGCCTCTTGCTGCCAGCCTCCCCACACCCTTGTAGTAGGTGGCTGAAAACATCCAGGGCGGCAAATACCGACTACGTTAACACTTACGCAAACCTGGCATTGCTGTCGTAAATTGGGAAGGGAATTCAGCAATTGAAGGTGGCTCCCGCCAGGCTGTGTTACCCGTGGTGCTCTGCGTGGGCTGTGCCTCGGTGAGCAGATGGCGGGGTGCTGGGGCTGCCCCCGCAGCTGGGAGTCCTCCCTGGGGTTTTTAAATGGTAAGCTTTGGGCTGAAGAAGCGGTCAGATGCGGTGGTGGGACGGTGATGCTCCCGTCTGGTGGAGCAGCGGGGAGACATCCCTTCACAGCCGCAAGGCACTCGGAGGTCATAGCTGGTGTCGGGATGGGTACACGTAGCTGTAGCTCAGCTCTTCTACTCCCCCAGCAAGGGGAGGACAGATGTGAGCTGGTAACATGCGGCTCTGTGTCCTGCAAACCCCCAGCCTTTGGCAAATATTGGCGAGAGACCCCCTCGCCAGGGCCCAAAGACGAGGGAGAAACTTAGCTGTGGCGTATCCTGTGTTTGCATTGCAGAAAATCCATCTTCTGCAGCGGGCTGCCACTCCATCGTACTGAGGGGTAGATCCTCAAACCAAGATGCTCCCAGGTGAGTGGCATGGCCCGGGGACTCCAGCTGCCAAATCCTTCTCTGCCCTCACAGACAACCCCGTCCTCAAAACATCTGCTGCGAGGGTTGGCAACGTGGTGGTCTTCAACTTCCCCGCCTCTCCTTGAGATCGGTGAAGGAGGCACCTGCGTTCGACAGCTGAAGGGGCAGCGACCAGCCGGGAACCCGCGCTCTGGCCCCTCTCCTCCCGCAGCAGCCTGGCAGGAACCTCCCCGGGTCTGAGCTCACAATGCAGAACCTGGGCAGGTCCCCCAGCCCTGCCTGCACTCCCCAGCCCTGCCCACACTCCCTGCAGCGCCACAGTAAGGAGCCATGTGGGGCACGCACTACACAACACAGCTGCATTTGGGGGAGGAAGGCTCATCATGGACACAGAAATACTGATTTTTAGCAATCATATCCTTCAAATAGCTGTTGAAGGGCTATTTCCCACAGCTATGTGGACAAGGCTAACTGCATTTTCTTAGATGTAATTTCTAGTTTTTATTCACTAGCAATGACCCGAAGCACCTTCTTTTCCACTCTGTTCCCAAGCTCCATGCTTTCCCCCATGCTGGGCACCTGTGGCGCAGCAGGAACGGGAGCTCAGCTCACACCCAGCAAGGGAGAGATGCGGAAAAATCATTAGACACGGCTCCGTCCAGCTGATCAGGACAGAAGGGGGAGCCCAGGAGACAAAATTGGAGCACATCCCAGCCTGCCAAGCTCTGGCCAAGCTCTGGATGTTGACGGCATTCATAGAATCTTGCTTTTTGTTTCTACAGCCACTTCTTGGCATTTATTTATGGTTTATAGGAAAGCACTCTCACCTATGAATCCGTGCTGGCATTCCCGTTGTGCTGAACAGCGAGCCGTTCCACCAGCAATGCCCAGAAATCACCACTGTGCTGCACTCCGCTGTTGTCCTCTCTGTATTGATGGGCCAAAGCGTCTTCTCCCTCCTCTCCCCCCACGCTGATCCTTTCCCTCCAGATCTCTGACACCCGCATCACCTCCCCACTGTGCCCGTCATCCCCTGCCGGATCTCCATGCTTAAAAACCATGCTTCACTTTGGAAGCCACCTCCTTGGCAGCTTGCTTGACTCACGAGTGCTTGTCCTGACCTGGGCAAGTCTGCAACTTCCTGGTAGATAGAAACGTTGTGGTTTTGACCTCTTTCAACACGACACCTCAAGGACTGATATTTTTAGCAGTAAAGGAGTCTGAGCTACGTTACTGCTGGATGTATGAAGTGTCCCAGCTCCTGGTGCGCCCCAGGCACTCCAGCCAACTCTCTGATCCACTATCTTGTGAATGCTTTCCAATGTCCTGAGATATTTCCTAGCAAACAAATAATTTTCTAGTTTGCTTAAATGACTGCTCCAGCCTCATGCAGAAGGGGAAGGAGCCTGTCAGGGTTTTGGCTGTACAGAGGAGGGGCTGCCTTTCCCTGTGCTCCCCAAGACCTCTGGCAGGCTGAGAGACTGATGCCCACCACAGACCCCACCTGCTGAGACTTATTTAACATTTCCTAACAGGCCAGGCTATGCTGCGAGCCTATTTTCAGATAGTGCTGGCTTGTACTTCAGTATTTTTAGATACCTTCTGTTTGTTATATCTCTATTTTATCCCTCCAAATCCAGACATCAATTACTGGCTCGGGTGCATATTAAAACATAGCTCACAAATAGACTGTTCTGCCCGTACCTGCCTTGTAATTTCTCTCTAATTCATTGTGGAAAATTATTTGTTTTCCTCTCCAGGCATGAACAATATGCCCTTTGTAAAATATCCTAGAGCTACAGAGCCTCTCTGGCATGAATGGGACAGGAAAGCACAGAAATGTGGATTAAGACACACGATCTATGCTGTAAATGGGGATCAGTATACTGGAGAATGGCTGGACAACTTGAAACACGGTAAGATAGACCATTTTGAGAAAAAGTACCAGTTTACATGTCTGTACAAAAGTTTGCAGGGGCAGGGAGCGGTCAGTGGTTGTAGATGCTCCTGGAAGACTGTTCATTCACGTATGACTGTGTACATATATATGTTTTTGATATGTGTCATGCAAAAATGTGCTCAAGTATATTTCTAATAGGTAACTTGAAGAGCTTTTGCACGTGCTCAGGGGCAATTACCTGAAATATCTAGAATATAGATGTTTAAAAATCCCCTACACACACAGCAGACTGCAGTCAGCTCCACACACTGGGATGTGCCCTGGCTGCGCAGCCCCTGGAGCTCTCTCGGCTTCTGACTTGTCTTCAGGAATATTCATTTATTTTCGAGTCGTGGTGGGTGCTGCAGGAGACAGAGCAGGGGAAGGAGACCCTGACCGAGTCCTGAGCAGCCAGAGCAGGACAGGTTTGTTTACAAGCAGTAAACTGAGGTTTGGAAAGATTTAAGTGCGTTCAGCGAAGACCACACAGGAAGCCCCTGACCAAGATTAAAGATGCATCCGACTCGGGAAGGAAAACTGAATCCCAGACATAAACCTGCATCAGGGAACGCCACCTCGCCTGGGATGGAGCTGTAGGACGGCAGCCCCATAAGTCCTCCCCCTAACGACTGCGATGGTCTCCCCGTAATTCCTCTTGTTTGTTAAACAGGTAAAGGCACCCAGGTATGGAAACGCAACAGAGCTATTTATCTCGGTGACTGGAAGTTCGGGAAGCGGGATGGTTATGGCTCATACAGCATTCTGGACCCTGTAACCAAGCAATACAAGAAGGTGTACACAGGCTGGTGGAAAAACAACAAAAAATGCGTAAGTGGGATGTCCTGCGCCTGCTGGCAGCGAGGCAGCATTCCCCAAAACACGGGGAAGAGCTGGGTGCACACATGCAAGAAGATCATTTAAAATACTGATTTTTCAAATACTGAGGCTGAATTGAAGGGTTATGGAGAAACAAATAGGTGGAACAAGAAAATGAAAGCAAGAGCAAAAGCTCTGCTGTTTAAGCCCTCTTCCCCCGCCCTCCCCAACCTCAGTACTTCTGGCGTTACTCACTTCTCCATGTCAGATGCTGCAGGAGCTGCACCGTGTCCCACGGCCGGCAATAGGGAAGCAGCAGCGTGGCTCTGGGCAGAAGCTGCAGGAACAAACCTTCCTCCAGGCTTGGGCTCTCTTTAAATCTTAATTTGAACCTGAAGAAAGCCCAGGAATCTTCAAGAGTAAAAATCAATCTTTCATAAAAAGCCAAGCGTGGCTGAGAGCACCCCATTGCCCACCCTCTCTCCTCTGGAGAGGGACGCATCCCACCCATCCGCCGGTGACCAGGCTACAGCCCTGACCTCCCACCAGCTGCCGCAGAGCAGCGATCGCTGCCTGGACTCCCCTGCAGCTCAGCCAAGCAGGACGAGAGGTTTCGTACCCCGTGTCTTAATCCTCCCCACCCATCCTTTCTCTCTTCTCATCCTTGAAGCGGTTGGAGGAACCGGTATGATAAGCACTGCAGGAAAATATACCTTCTTCTGGGAGTTTTACAGTGTATTAGACAAATCACATGAGTTCTTTTGGAAATTAAGCTGTCACATAAATCGCTGTTTTTTCTAAAAGGAAACATAATGAGGAAGTCATCTGGTAGAAATGACTGCAATCTTATGTGCAAAATCCTTGTAGGAACATTTTCTGATCTGCCAGTGGAAACCTTGTGTTCGCCTTTGTGTCTGCTCTTAAGTTAAATTAATAGCTTTGTACGCTTCTAATTGGCATGTGGCTTTATGGCTTCAGTCTCTTGGAGGGAGCTTCCCCTCCCATTCTTTGAGGATGTATTTTGGATGATTGAGCTTTGGTGAACGATTTATAATGACATCCAAGTATCACTAGACTTATTTTTTTCTTCCACCCCTTTACATCCATGCAGTTTAATATAATTCATGCTCAGCAAAATCAGGTTCGTTCCAGAACTGATTTTATTTTTTGTTCAGAGATAAATTAATGCTTTATTCCTCTGGGAAAACTCATTAGTAATATGCAAATATTGCTCTCTGGTATCACTCCTCAGTATAGGGAGTACCTCTGGACTCCTCTTAATGGCAAACACACACAGGTAAGACAAACACCTCCTGGGGTCCCCAGCTTGCACACACCTGGGGGTCTTAATTCAGAAGTTCACCAACCAAACCTGCGACGCCTGCTGCCCTGGGAGCCTGGCCCAGCTGCAGGGAGGCACGCGAGGCATCGCTGCCTGCGCCTGCCGGTCTCGCCGCAGGTAGCCTTCAGGGCTGCCTTTAGTTTGTTGTGAAGGTGGAAGGAAGCAAGGCAAGGTGCTGGTTAGGACATTACCTCTTTGGGGGTGTGGAGAATGCAAAACCATGTCCGTGGTCAGCATCACTTGGAGACCTTCAGTCTGCCCAGGGGCAACGGAAGGAGCCGCCAGCCTGGGGCACCCTGGACTGTAGGGAGCATTGTCAGGGCATAAAATCCCCGTGTTGAGAGACAGATCTTTTTTGTGCTGCGTATCCACAGGCAGGTTTATATACTAGTAAAACCTGCTTTTAGCTAAATATTAGCAGTGATCGTGCCAATAATAACGCACTGAGATGCAAACCTGAGATTTTTTCATGGGAATAAAATCATTTGCCAAAAAAAATCCCATACCATCACCTCTCATTTCCTTTAACACGTGAATGGCCACCAGCAGCCATGTGTAACAGTAATAAGCAAAGAAGTAGCGTTATCAAGAAAGTAATGTCCCCAAATTGAACACCAACCCCTTTCAATACAGAAGCTCCTAACCAGGCATCTCTGTGCTGCCCTCCAGGGCTACGGGACGACGTTTTACCCTGGCGGGGAGCGCTACGAGGGCGAGTGGAGCCGCGGCCTGCGGAGCGGCTGGGGACGGATGTACTACCAGGATGGATCCATCTACGAGGGGCAGTGGCTAGAGGACCGGCCCAGCGGGCAGGGGATGCTGCGGCTGCGTAAGTACCTGCCATCCTCACCCAAGGCGTCTGCCTGCCCCCTTCAAGCTATTTGGTGTCGTGCTGCTCTCCGGATGCGTCTGCCGCCCAGATTTCTGGATGCTACATCACATCTCCCGCTGCAGGCTTGTGTCAGGGTTGCAGCTGCTCCCCTGCATCGTCCCTCTCCTCCTGGTTTGGGACTGGAGGCAGCACAGGCTGTGCAAGGGCCGGCATTGCGTTGCTCAAGCCCACACGCATGAAAGCTTATTTTTGCTGTGATTTACATTTAAATGACTGGGATGGTTAGGGTTAGAGATAATATACTGTTGGGTCAGAGGAGAGCAAATCTCTCTTTTCAAGCCAGGCACTTCGCCAGACGTACTTTCTAACTGCTGCATACCAAAGAGGAGTCCAGTTTCCAGCACAGACAAAAAAGAAGATACGTTTTCTTTTTTAGTATACTCCATCCTCTCTCTTACTTCCGACACTGGCTTACGTTGAGTGAACGCAGGGGTTTCATTAGTACACAATCCCTTCCCAAAAATAACACCAAGCACATCACAGATTGGGAATGTTGGGGGCAATCTCATCATAAAAATAGAAATTGGTATAACATTTTTTTCCCCTATTTTGCTTGGAGTTTTACACATTTTTCCCCAAAGCCAAGAATCCTAGCCCTCTGCAGTACAAGGCACTGAGTTCCAGGAACATCTGAAGAAATGTTATCTCTATATGATTATTCATCTATTCTGTTTTTTTGCTTGAAAGTGATCTCAAGGCTAGTGATTAGCTAAGCAAAGCAGCTGGGAGGAACAAGCACGACCTTCACTGCACATCACACACATGACTGCGCTCTCCCTGCTGACTGTAAAGTCACTTTGGACCGATGGCTTGTCCAGATGAAATCAGCATCCGCTTCCAGGGGTAACTCCTTCCACTAATCAGCTTCGCTCCCATCAAAGTCACCCTTGGCATTATAAACTGATGACCCCTCGGGGCTGAGCTACGGCTGATGCGCCGTTTCAGAGCCCAGTTGCCTCCAGCGTACCCTGCAACTGATTGTGAGCTGGATTCCTTTTGGTTAAAATTAGCCAGAGCAATTATTTCATACCCACAAGCTTAATGTATTCAGCTCAGCCACTGGAAGTGTGCCCATGTGCCAGCAGCTTTGTGATGGTGAAAGGAGTTCTTCAGTGGAGGTCACGATGAGCTGCAGCTCAAGATTAAATTGCTTGTAGTGGCAGCGTGCCCGGCAAGGGTAAGCTTGGCTGGGAGCACCACGTTGATTCGCCACCCCTGCTGCAGCCCATTGCTGGATGGCTTTTAAACCAGAGCATTGCATGCCTGCAGAGATCTTGGCTGTGAGCAACGCCACCTCCAAGGTGCTCTGGGAGGAGAGCGGATGGGAGCAGCCAGGTCGGGGTGTATGATGGCCCCTTCATCACAGCCAGGTCTGTGGTTTCAGTGGTTTCTGAGTTGTCGGTGGCTGGAGAGCAGAAGCTGAGCTGCTTCCACTGGTGGGCAGGGCACGTCGGTGTTGCAGATCAGCACACCACCAGATGCAAGCTGAAGATAACCACCGCTGTGGCTCCAACCTCTAAACCAGACCCTGCCTGAAGACCCCAGCAGCCACGCTCCCCAGAAGTATTTCTGGGTTTTCCCTCTTGCCTTATGGCGTTCTGGCAATCCCCAGCTCCTGCTGGGGCACCGTGCAGGGTGCCCTGGGACTTCAGCCACCTCTTGCCGTGAAGAATGGCAGAGTTCGGCTGAGACCCAAAGATATTTCCACTAAGTGACTTGGTCAGAAATTCCCACATTGTTTTGCTTAGAAACAGCATATCTGGGAAAAAGGGACAGCAGAGGACTCTCCTGGTGAGAGCAGAGTGGCCTGGATGTATCCCAGGCCCAACATCACCGTGGGTATGATGCCCCTTCTCAACCAGCGTCCCTGGACAAGGCTGCTCTCTTCCCCTTGCAGCTCTGCTTTCCCTGTTGGTGATGGATGGATGGATTCCTGGAGAGCAGCACAGAGCCCAGAAAAACCTCTCTCGACTTGCAGAAAAATGCCAAGAGATGCAATGCAGCTGGAAAAACAGTCTGCTACTGATTGCCTGAGCCATTCAGACACTTACAGCAATTCTTGTGCTGTAATTCATTGAGCAAAAACATAACTACAAGTATTATTTGAAATCAAGATTATTTTGACTGGACAATGATCAGACAGTGCTGCTGTTCCTTGCCCAGATAAGCAAACCTCTTTGAGCCAGTTTCTGTGTGATTTGTTGCAGTGACAAATCCAAAACTTGTGTCCTATAATTTTTCATGTTGTGAAGAGTGACTCAGCTACTAGTGTAACCCTGAGCTCACTCGCTCCGTGTATCAGCAAAAAAGGAGTATCACCGGGAGAACAAAGCAGGTGAATGCATTTCTTGTTCCAAGGGGGCAAGCGTGGGTGTCTTCCGCAGCCTTTTGTCCTCTGTGGCACAGCAAACAGAGCACTGAGAAAGCAGAACAACACACCGTGCCACAGCCCGCTCAAAATTACTAAGAGGAGCCAAACAGATTATTTCCTCTGCTGTTGGTTTGCTGTGTCGATTGGTGTCATTTGTAGCCCCTTAATGAAACGGTCTTTTGTAGCCCCTTAATGAACCAAATCTCATGGTCTGTTCATGTATTTAATTGCAGCAAATGAAAATCAGTACGAAGGAGGCTGGAAAGATGGAAAGAAGCATGGCCCAGGGAAATTTTTCTACTTGGATAAGGGACAGTTGTTTGAAGGTATCTGGGCAGAAGATATACCAAAATGTGGAATCCTGATTGACTTTGGCAGAGACAAAGCTCCTGCCCCTACTCAGTATCCAATCCCAAAGGTAATTGCTTGGCAATTTCATTTTTGTTAGTGATGTTTTCATTCATCGGCGCTTGGGGCAGCTCTCCAGGTAGCATCTCTCTCCAAGCCATTACCTCCGTAGCATTCCCAGCTCATGGGGTGTGTGCTCAGTCTTTTGACCAGCAGTGTCCTAAATGGCCCCGCAGGGACGAACAGCCCGTCCAGCCACCCCTGGAGCCTCCTAATCACCTACATCTGAAAAAATGCCATTCTCATGCACCAAAACTGCTTAGGGACCTGAAGCAGCACAAAGGAAACGAGGACAATAGAGGCAGAGACAATGGTGGGATTTGCGTCAAAACCAAATGATTTCACCGATCCAAGCTGCTAAAGCTGACCAGACCTTACCGAAACCCAAGCAGCTGCAGCGCTAGTATCAGCTATTTCCTTTACCCGGACACACTGAGTTGGGGTCTTGTCCCTGTCCAGCAGCCCCACGGGCAGAGGGGTGTGCGTAGCTTCCCCAGGGCGGGCAGACGCGTGTCCGAGAGCTGACATGCTCTGCTCCCCTTTCCTCCCAAGACTGACAAAGGCTGCGGACGAAGAGCCAGTCCCCCTCCCAAAGACCTGGTGTGGTGCATGATGAGGCAGGTGGACAGCCCAGGCCATCAGCCCTGCAGCTGCCGGGTCCTTGTGCATCTCTTCGGTGCAGGAGCCAGAGGATGGGAGAGCCTCTGCCCCACTCCGCGCCCTCGGAGGACAGGGCACAGGGATTAGGATGGAGCAGAAGTGGCTCCAGGTGACACAGCTGGCCAAAAGAGTCTCAGCTTGAATCCCCATGGTCTGTGTGCCACACACATGAAATACAAAGGCATCGTGTTTCCAAGGGACAGTTACTGCAGGATACAGGTGGGGAAGCTGCTCATTGCTTAGCGCCAAGCAGAACCACACTGGATAACCACAGCACGCTGCTTTGGTTACACACACAGTAACACAGGGAACAGCACGGCCCCGTGACAGGTAAAGCTACCTACCTTCCTCCTCTGCTCCAGGGGCAAGGCTGCTGCAAACGATACCGGGCACGCACAGCTACCAAAGCTCACAGCTGTTAGATCTTTGCTTCCCTTGTTTTTTCAAATCTGGTTTCTATAGCAAGAGCCCTTTGAGCACAGACATTTTTGACAAGCCAGTTAATCCTGTAATTACTAGGCACACCCACGGCAGTGCAGAATAATAAACACCAAACACTCACCAGGGAAAAACAATCCTGATTTTGCAAAGAGTGAAAGGAGCAGTACTTCTGTAGCTAAAAATATTTACTTTACAAGGTTTGTCAAAGGTCATCCGAGAACAGTCTCCTCAGCAACCCAGCCCAGCAGCCCTGGGATGAGTTGCTATTTTGCTATGGCAGGATATTCAAGCCTGGCTGTTTATTTATCTCCCTGAAGCCCAAGTTATGACCTGGTTTCGTTCTGCTCTACAAGTAAAAAGGAAACATCAACTTTCACTGCTGTTACTGTGCTTTCCATCAGAAGAGATTTATTGATCTGAGAACATGAAGGAAGTAACAGATGAAAGGAGGAAACTTGACTTCAGATTTTCATAAACCCTTTGTCAAACTACAGTCGCAAGCAGCCGTTAGAGAAAAGTAGATGTTGGGTGAGCGCTAGAAACTGCCATAGCCAGAGATGGACTAAATGGCCAGCTTCCGCTTGGCAAGAGGCTAACAGCGGGGACCTGAGCTCCTGCATGGGAGAAGCACCGCTGTGTTTTATTAGCAGGTGAAAGGACCAAAGGGTGGGGATGCGCAGGACAGAAAATGGCTGAACACTAGAGAGGGACTGTCATAAGCTTTGAAGGAATCCAGCACATAGATGATGGGGTTGCATCAAGGCAGAATTGGAACATAACTGCAGAGATGGGGAAAGACACAACATGGTGGACTTGAGATGTTTGCTGTTATAATTATTGAAGCCAAGGCTTCAGAAAGTGTAACAAAATAAATGAGAAAAAGGCTGGATGTCTTCTGCCTGGGAGAACACCACACACACACACAAACCCTGCAGAAAGCATCAGGACACAAAGCAGGTCAGCGAGATGACAAGTTCCTGGCAGGGCTTTGGCACTTCCATCTCAAGAATCTGCATCCCATCGCACGCAGGTGACATGACTGCAGACTCCCGCTTTCACGTGACCTTTGATGCTGACTCGGGTGACTGCAATTCACCTTTTGAAACAACAGGCAAGACCCAACAGGCTACAAATCAAAGCCAGTTTTGTGTAAGAATGTGTTTTGTTAAAGGAGAATCAGACCACTCCACACAGAGCTATTTCAAGGAGATGAAGTGATGTTCAACATGCTAATACAATTAGGGAAGTGTAGCAACGTTTCTAAAGCAGTAATTGAAAGGCTGCAATATAAACTGAAGTCCTGATACATGGGAGATTCTCCGTTAATGCTCGAGTAATCAAGATCTATAAAACCTTAAGCTTCTTCAATTACACTGCGTAACCGATTTGTATTCTTTTTATTTAGATTGAACTAGCTGATCCAGATGGTGTTTTAGCAGAGGCCCAGGCGATGTTTGATGACAGCCAAAATTAATAACCGGATGCTGAAGAAAAAAAAAAAAGATGCAAGATAAGAACACGATCTGGGTTACTCATTCACTGGTGTCTCAAACCCACACTGTGCTCTATCATGTCATGGTCTGCCTCACTTTTCCCTCAAGGCTGCCCACGTATGCTTCACTCTGCAGGTGGCTTTTCTCAGAGGCCTCCTCCCACGCCGCATTATTTTGGAAAAGAAAGGAAAAAAAGTAAAAAAAAAAAGAGGCAGCAAAATACTGGAAGACAAGCGGAGTGACTCTTTGCCCAGCTCCCCTGGCTTATTCCTCCTGCAAAGAAATTGCACTCCTCTTGGTTCCAAGGTCTTCCACATCGCCTTAGAGAAGACACAGGGTTTCTATTATACGCTATAAAAGCAAAGCCCTAGAAAAGTACAGTCAAGTAATTTCCCCTTCCCACTCCCCCTAACCTTAGCCCGATACATACCCATGAATCAAGACGGCTTCTGAAGCCATCACAGATCATGTTTCAGTTAATATTTTTATTAATTTTACACTTGCTCTCTCTGTGCATTTTCCATAATGCGACGCTGGTTCTCCTCCCTAACCCCTGGGAATGCAGAGCACCAGATCTCACCCCAGCTCTGCTCCTTGGCCAGCCCACGCAACGGAGCCCTGGCGCTCAATGGCGCTGCGTCAGCTGCTCCATCTGTACCCGACGCAAGGACCACGCGCCAGCCACGCAGAGCTGCGGCACTGCTGATCTGCGAGGTGCTGCTGAGCGTCACCTGCAAGGCCGAAGGAAGCTGGCACTGCAGCTGGCTGGTGAAAAACAGGCCCTGGGAGAACGGGTCATTAGTCCACCCGACTAACACCGTGCTTCTGAGTATCACCTCTTGTTTACAGTTCGTTTTTCTCCTCATGTTTTCTAGGCTGAAAGATAACCTACTTTTCTGTTTAAGCACTTGGAGATAATAACAACAATACAACATGCTTAGTCCCAAGATTTAAGCAGTGCTGACAGGAGGAAAAACACGTCAACTACATTACATCCTTTATACCTGCCTGTGTGAACACGCAATTTGATCTTCATATTATGATGTAAATGAGTAACTGAACACATTCAAGAGATCCTCAGAAATACAGTTAGAATTAGTGCAATATAGCTGAAGAGATAAGGGATATAGAGAAAGTAAGCATATTTTAGGCCTCGAGATAACAAATAATCAGCAACAATTGAGTATATTTTATTTCATTAAAGTATATCTAAATAAGTGATATACAATAACCAATGTTTAAAACACTTGAGGTAAATGCGTAATACCATTAGTATAAATAAGGGATAAAAACAAATTCTAAGTGCACTCTTAATGTTTAGATCCATGTGTTTGGGTCTGGTTACTGCCTCTGGTACACAGTTATGAGACTGTGCCCAAGGTGTAACTTTCATGACCACAGCTGGAAAATTAGAGAAACATTCAATATCATGGCTTAAAGTGCAGAAAATAGTCAGAAAAGCAGCTGTAATAACAGCACCATTAGCTCAGAACCTACCAGCTTGAGCAAGTTAAAAATAAGGTTGTCCCACTAGCTTCTAATTCTGTATTTCTTAAACAAAACAAAAAACCCCACGCTTCTCTGTCACTTTGTAAAAGATCCACAAAATAAAGAGAAATTCAGCTACTTATCCAGGACAGCAAGTAATTTTAAAAAAATCAACTTGGAAAATATATTTTCCAGACTTCCATCCAAAATAATGTTTCAAGTACACAATTTATAGACAAAAGTGCAATTTTTAAGCCTGGCAGCATCTTTTTAACCATTCACTCTAGTGTGAATATTGAGCCAGGTTTTCTTCCTTTACTGAGGGTTTTTAAGAGTCTGTTTTCCTCAAAACCAAACTAGTATTCCAGTAAAGGACGGGAAAATACATTCTGTGCCTACTACTAAGATTTTGTGTTTTGGAATGCTGCTCCATTAATGCCTTTACTAACAACGAGCACCTGTGGGACCGTAGTCACAATTCTCACCATCGGCAGACTTACATCAGTAAAGGAACATAGCTGAAGCATAATGTAATGGCACCGCTAGAGAAAATCCAGTTTGGCATCTTTACGCCAGAAGGACCTGTGAAAATGGCAAGTGGAAAGCCGTTTTCTGTTTGTGAACCAAGAACAGCCCTGCAAGAATGTCACTGAAAAAACACAGTCCAGCTGGTTTCTTTAATTGTTATTTTTCAGAATACAAATGCATCACGGGTAAAACCTTGTCACTACCTTCCACTGCGGTGGTGCTGACATGACAAATCAGTCCCATTCGCTTCACGAGGCTGCTTCAGTAGTAAGCCCATCCTGCCACCCTGACTCTGCAGACACTTCCTACAGTCTGGAAATGCGTCGGGATAACCTGAGACGGAGGTTGGGTGCAAGAGCCCACGTTCAGCTCAGGCTTGGTCAGGTACAGCTCCACTGTATTGTCATGTTTGCTCCTGTCTAGTGGCAAAATCCCAGGTTTCTATTCCACAGTGTTAGTTACGATAGGGACGTCAAAGTTTTGTTTCATTAGACTTGAAACCTGTCTCAGTCTGTGTTCAAAAAAACAGCTTTTACCCCATTAAAGCCCAAAGCTGCTCCACAGAAGAACTGCATTCCAGAAATTTCCACCTCTAGACATAGCTGGAATTACTGAAGCAGCCCAGAACAGCTGCTGCAATCCTCTCGGACAAACCTCTTGTCTAAGAGGCCAAATGGAAGTTTTTGCTTAAAGAGGAAATAAACGGCACAGTAGCCTTGCTGTCACAGACATGTGTCTGAAAGTCAGCAGCAATACTAATTACAAATAATCTACTTCATAAATAAATCTACATAGAGAAAAGTAGTCTTCCAGGTCCTTTGGAAGCAAAAAAGGTATAACAAGTTATTAAATACAACACTTCAGCAAGAAGACGACCTTTTCTAAACAAGGAAGACCAAGGCATAGCTGATTACTTGGGAATCCAATGCAGAGAAAGCACCTTTTGCTGCTTGTATCTGAGGATTTATTAAAAATATATTTTTAATATAAAAGTACAAAATAATTACTACTTTGCCTTGGAAGAAAACAGCAGTTTTTCTGATTTTCAAGCAAAAAAATTATCCAGTGATAATTGCCATCTAGTTCTTTCTTTTTAAAAAAAGATTCCTAAATGGGAAACAGGCAAATCTATCTCTCCAGATAATATGTGCCAGCTCGTGAGAACTTTAAAACAGTTATTGCTTTTATTTTCTTCCAAGGAAGAGTAGAGTAGAGTCTCGTTCCCATTCATGTGGCCATACCACATCACAGTAAGGCTAGTCATGGGTGTTTAGCGAGTTATGAAAGGTGTAACTGCCACAGGGAAAAGGCGCTGGAGAAATCAGTAAAGTAATAATTACTTGGCAGCAAAACATACTGGGGAAAGTGGTGGGAAAGCTTTCACTTCTACCATCTGTCAGGCTTTCTAGAGAGAACAGCACTAGCACTGAAACCAAGTGCTAATTGCTGCATATCCCAAGTAATTTGTATCACGCTATGCAATATGGATCGGACAAGCAGTATCTTCTAGTAAATGCCAACATCAAATAAAGAGAGGAAAAAAAAAGCTTGTCTATCCACCCCTAACAAATACCCAAGTAAACAATGTTATTTTCCATATATTTATACAGCCACTATTCAGCATTACCAAGAAGCAATCTAGACAGTGCTCACAAGAGGGGGGATGCACGTGCAGTGCAAGCACGCCCCACCATCCATTCCTTCAGACGTCAGGCAGCCACAACGTTACAGAAGGATCAACATTTTTTTTTCCCCTCTCTAAAGGGTTAGAACAACATTTATAATCTCTCTTTAAACAGTAATCAACAGTTCAACCAGTTCATCCACAGGGAAGTCAACATAACAAGGCAGAAGCAGAATAGCTGGTTTATTTTCTTTAAGTACAGGTTTACGCAAAATGGGTAACAGCTGAGGAGATAGCATCACCTCTGTGATCCAGCTGATCCTGGAGCCGTGCAAATTCAGCAAGTTCATTCAGTTCTTGAAATTGCCTGTCTGTTTTATGGCTCACCAGTGACCTATAGAAGTGGACTGCAAACACAATGAAAATCAATCCGAAGGGAACCATAATAGACGTTGATGCAATGGCTGCCGCCTGTCCTGATGTGATGGTAGAACTGTTGCTCTGCAGTGGATTATCAGTTTTCTTCTTTAAAGGAAGAAACTTCACCCAACACAGTAACACCACCTCTGCAAGAAAAAGCAAAGTCCCGATGACAGTAGAAAATGCCCACGCAAGCTCAATGTGCCGATGCATACGCTCATGAGGAGATTCCTTGACGGAGTTGAGATTATGCACATTGCTAACAGCCTCTATATTTGGAAGAATGCAGGTACTTATCATGAGTGCAAAAAGGTGAACTGCAACGAGGACAGTAGTACAGGCACTGAAGGCTATCAAGAGACCTTGAGGGTAGTCATGTTCTGCATCCAGCTGAACTTCTACCATAGCCACCTGAAACGGATGACTATAGCTTAAACCTTGTTTCCAGAAGATCATCTGATCCACACAAAATAACAGTCTGCATTTAAACTTCTCTTCATGTCAATCTGCACCTTTTCATTGGGTCCAAATTCAGGTCTGAGCTATCAAGCAAGGGCCACCGTTGTCCTACGTGCTATTCTGTTGTAGAGCAAACCACCAGTACGCACAAAAGCCATTAACAGCACAAACACCTTCCCACCTCCAGGTCATCCCAACAAAACTGCCAGACTTTGTGACCAGCATACTGGGACTCTTAAAGGGAAACATTTCTTCTTTCCTGTGTTACATTGTACAGGCAGTCTTTGATCTTTCACTATATATTATAAGTTCTGCTGAGTATTAGGAAATGTTTTGTCCCCCATACATACATAGAATGAATACCGTACAAAGTCTTCTGAAGTAGGTATCTATCATGTGAAAGCCTGTGATGGCAGCGGACCGTCTATCCCAGTCTTGGTGGTCCTTTCTCCTTGGATATTTGTTCTTAAGTTCTGAAGAGCAGGAGCCTTTCATTAGGAAGATCACCTTCCCATGGGGCTCCCAACTATATTCTTTCACTCAAAATAAGTCTTTAAGCAGACTCTAGAACAGAGATCCAAAACATGAAGGCCTCCACAACGTCCATGGCAGCCAAACAGGCCTGTTATAGCCTGGAGGAAAGACAGACAGCAGTCTCCCAGAAAAGAGAATACAGAGCGCTCCCAGGCATCGCCAGCTACTCTCACTCTGGAAGCTGCGTCGAGCCTCACCTCTGGGCGAGCGTGCGCTCTCATCAAGATGCCTCAAGGTCCAGGCCTCCACTACCGTACGCAGCCATGCCCTTTCATAAACTTAGGTCTCCAAGCATGACTGTACTTAAGCAGCAGAAATTAGCATTAAATAACAGCAGTAAGAAACTCAAACCCAGCTCAAATATTTTTGATAAAATTAACTAGAATGCCTTTTAACAGTTTTTAAAACTGTCAGGTAGTTTTACGCATATGCAACTGACGAGTGACATTAATCCCAGCAGCTCTCTTGAAAAATAATCTCTCCTGATAAATTTGCCTTTCAGACAAAGCACGGCTCCACAGAGGGGATAATGCAACATCTCCACGTTTAGTGCTCATTCTCAAAGGATCTCATTAAATAGACAAAATACATTTAAAATGCAGAGGAAAAAAATTAACAGCAATCTTAAATATCACACGTGTACACCGCATTAGGAAGACGCAGAGGCTGCTGTTCAGCACAGTTCAGCCTGATCCACATCAGCCCTTTCTGTACCTTGGCTCCCCACTCTTGATCCTTCGCTGAAATGACTCAAACCTGCTAGCCTGGCGACAGCTAACCTGGTTAAGAAGTGATCTTCTGCCAGCTTAGTGAGCTGAGCTGTTTCTGCAATGTCTCTAATGAACAACGAAGCTGGCACAGACCCGTGTAACTGAGGCAGTTGTACCAGGACTTCAGACTCTTGGCAGCACAAAGCTATGGGCCTAGTTCTTCTGTAGCATACCAGTCTGCCCTCAAAAAGACCATGAAATCAGCTCGTACAACACAGTACCTGAAACAACTGAGTCCCACAGATACAGGTTTAGCCTGCTACCACAGCCCGTTAGTGGTCTGCACAGTACCCAGCCTACAGCAAACATTTCAAACACCTCAAGTCTCACCAAACTGATACGAAGAAAACTTCATCAAGTATTGACGCAGGGAGACACAGAAACTAGGACGCAAAGACAGCCGCAAAACCAGTGAGGCTATTCAAACCTCACTATTTTGCCAGGGCTGAACCAAGCTATACCTAGTCCAGGATCCCATCTTCTTACACTCCCAGAACCAGCATGTTCCAGGGCACCAGAACTCTGAACTACTAACGCATCAAATATACTGAGGCAACCAAGGGTTTTGCTCAGACGTGTCTCAACAGGCTTTCAAGGCCATTTGCCAATACTTTAATTCCTTTACTAAAAGCTTTTATTGTCATAAGCCTAACCACCCAGCCAACCAGAAAACAGTTTCCAAGTGTTACAAGAAACTCAATAAGAAATTATATTAATGCATTTTTTAAAATTTAAATATATCATTTTTCAACTGTGGGAAACTTCACAATTGAGAGGATAAACATTTGGTCACCGAGTCTGTCTTCTGCAGGATTGCTTGTTACGTCCCAGTGTGCTCGTGGGATGCTGGGCTTCCTGTGTTTTTCACAGAATAATTGCGCTCCTTCACCACTGATGATTCACTTTCAGACTTATCAGCATTTTTTCTTGTAAATTTTCTGGTGCGTGTTTAGACTCAAAACCATCCCGTATTGCAAGACGTTTTAATCCATTATCCTAGTACTTACTATATTAGCATAATCATGACACTAAAGAGCATCATAAGATGAAGACTTTATTTTCTTTCAAGAACGGATGTATTTAATCTGCCAAATATTGAGGATATTTTGTATTTCCATTAATCAAAGTCTCCATGCAATAATGACACCAAGCATCTGATTCTGAAGTTCAGTCATACCTATCATTCCAACCTATCACAGAATCACAGAATGGTCAGGGGTTGGAAGGGACTTCTGTGGGTCACCCAGCCCAACCCCCTGCCCAAGCAGGGTCACCCAGAGCAGGCTGCACAGCACCGCGGCCAGGCGGGGCTGGAATATCTCCAGAGAAGGAGACTCCACAGCCTCCCTGGGCAGCCTGGGCCAGGGCTCCATCACCCTCAGAGGGAAGAAGTTCTTCCTCATGTTCAGCTGGAACTTCCTCTGCTTCAGTTTGTGCCC